TTTTATTCGGTAAAAATATTGTAATATTTTTACTAAATTTTTGTATTTTATTACAAATATTTTATTCAGTTCAAATATTTAATAATATTTTTTGTATTGTCTTTTAGTAGAAAATTTTTTAATTATTTCTAAATAAAATTTTTAATAAAAAAATTTAAATAATGGAAATTATAAATAAAAATTGAAAAAAATTGTATTAATGGAATTTTAATGAAAAATTTAAAGAAAAATATATTAAAACTCAATCTTAAGAATGTGAATAATTTAGGAATGCATTAATAGAGAAAATAAGCCACTCACTGTTTTTTTTTTTTTTTACTTGAAAATGTGTTGAACAATATAGATGGCAATTGTTAACACAGTGTCTTATCAAATTTTTATTTTTTTAAATTATATACATCAAATAGAAAAATCTATGTAGATTAAACTAGTTTCAGTCATCACAGAAACGAAATTTGTCTTCGTTGACAGAATTCGTAAAAAAGGGACCTGATAAGAAATTTAAATATAAATAAAGAGACAATTTTTCAATGCAATGGGATTTATCTTTTTTTTGTTAAATATTTCTTTTTCTTAGTATTAAATTTATTTTTTGGTATTAACTTCTTTTTGGTATTAAATTTAGTATTAATTATTTTTATTATTATTTTTATTAATTATTTTTAGTATCAACTTCTGTTTGGTATTAAATTCATTTCTTAGCATTAAAATTAAGTTTTCAGTGAAGAAATATTAATTTTTTTCTATATTCTTATAAAATTTATGAATTTACTTATTTATTTATTATTTAAAAGTGTAGTACGCTCATGATTGGCCATTCAATTTTTCAATTCATTCAGCGACGACTAAAAATCGAAATGCTTTTTCTAATATTGTTAGTAATAAAAGCAAAAAAAAAAATTGTTAGTATTCTCTATTAAAAAAATTAAGTATTTTTTTCTAAAAACTACTGTTAAAAAATAACTATTTATTATAAATTAATATTACAAATACTTATTATGAAAACGAACAATAAATTACTAAAAAGAAAATTCTTCTTTGGGCAAAATTAATTCTTTTACAAAGTAGAAAGTTTTCTATTCGGCAAAAAAAAATTGAGTCTAAAGGAAATTATTTAGAGTAAGAAAAAATTATTTCTAAAACTATTTTTTCATTTGGCAAAAAAAGAATACAGTCTGAAGAAAAATTGTCAAAAAAAATGCCTTTTTGAAATTTCGATTTCCGGTTTCAAGTTTGTTTTCTCAGCAGAATTTTTTTTCACCAAAATGTAGTCTTAAGAAACTTATTTTCGAATAAAAGAAAAAATCGAGAACATTTTTTTCAAGAAAACAAGTTTCTTAAATAAAAAAAATCCCATTCTGAAAAAAATTTTTAAGTAGAAAAAATTCTTTAGAATTTTTTGAAAATTTTCAGAAAAATTTTAGAATTTTAGAAAAAAAAATTCCATTCAAAGAAAATTTTCATTCAGACAAACAGAAAAGTTTCCAAAAACTGAAGAATAAACGAAATTCCTAAAAAAGCAGTAAACTTAAACAAAAAGGGAAAAAAATTCTAAATTTCTAGAATTTTTTTTTTTTAATCATAGAACAAGTCGAAAATTCAACATTTGTATTCACAGACACGGTGTTTACCGGGAATACTATATACTGTCACCCTTCTAATGAGTCATTCCTACTTCTGGTCGGTTCATGGGGAGTCATATTTTTACGAACGCTTTTAAGTATTTTCGTATATTTGTATTATATATATATATATAAGTAGAAGAACTTTGCCAAGTCACATCTCTTTTTGTCACCACAGAAAAATCGCTGGCGCCTTCCTTATAAAAGAAAAGCGTCCGACAAAACTAAAGAGAAATACGCACAAAAGCTCCCGGTCCGTAATTATATTTCAGCCGAAAAAAGAAAACGAACGGAAAAAAAAGAGAAAAAAAAAATTGTGTGCCACGTGTGCGAAAAAGAAGAATAAGACAAAAATTTTTAAACTCTACAGAAAATCTTCGATTTAAATCATTTTACTTTTTCAAAAAGAAAAAAAAAATTATTTCTCTTCTGGGAAAACATATTTTTTCTTAAAGTCGAATTAGTAAAAATTGAACCAAGAATTTTCAAACTCAAAATTTAAGAGAATTCTCCTAGCAACAAAAAATTTCCTTTTTCTTGGAAAAAATAACTATTTATAAAAAATAAAATATAAAAATTTACACAAGAAAAAAAATTTACCAACTAAAAAATAGAACCAGAAAAAATCAGAATCAATAAAAATGAATAATTTCCCCCTCCTTTGAATTAATTGATCGCACACAAATACTTTTTTCGCTATTTCTGTCTTTTCCTTTTTTCCCTCAATAAAAAAAATCACAGAGAATAAATTTTCGTGGGCGTATAATAAGATGAGTCTCTTAGTAAGTATTTCTCTCTTTTTCTCCAATTCTCTAATTCTCCCTCTCTCTCACTCACTCTTTTTCTCTCTCTTGAATGAAATTACATGGCACACATAGTGACTTACTAAAATAGAAAAAAAAACAACCAGAATGAGAGAGAGAGAGAGAGAGAGAGAGAAAAAAAAAATAAGAGAGAGATTGCGATTGTTACGTCATGGTTCACTCGAAAAATTGTAAGAATGAAATATTTGGAGGTGATTTCCGAGAATTTTTACGTAAACGAGATAGATATAGCTTTTTATCATTTTTAATGAATGATGATATACTTTAAGGACGTGACAAACATTGCGTCATGTGTTTAGTGTAATTTTTCTCTCTCTCGTTTTTTTTTTTGTCAAGATCTATAGTTATTGCGTTAAATTTGTCACATGCCGATAAAAAACAATGTAGAAATTGTACAATTTTTTTTCCATCACCAAAAAAAAAAAAAAAAAAATGAGAAAAAATAAAAATGATGATAATTTTCTTCTTTATCGAAAAACTTGATTTTCTATTTATTTTTTTCTCTCGTTTACTTTTAATTTTAATCAAATTTATTTTGTTCTCTAAATAGTTATTCCAATATTATTATTTTAAGCAAAAAGGGAAAAAAATTCTATATTATTCAATATTATTATATTATTAATAATAATATTAATAATAATAATAATAATAAAAATTATAGTAAATAATACAAAAAATATTACAAAAAATAATTAAAATAAATAAATAACAATAAATGTAAATAATAAAATAAATAATAATAAATTAAAATATAAAATAAAATAAAATAATAGTAAATAAATAAACTATTTTTTTAATTTTTATTAATTTGAATTATATTATTATTATTATTCCATTACTATTCTTTTATTTATTTATTTCACTCTTACAATTTATTATTATTATTATTATTATTCTTATTTTATTACACTATTAAATTTTATTGTATTATTTTATTCGTTTATTTGTTCATTTATTCCTTTATTTATTTAGATATTTATTTATTTAGTGCCAATTGTCGTAAAAAATAAAAATGAAAATTATATTGTTTTATAATATAAAATTTCGAGTTTAGAAAACTTATTCTTTTCTTTAACTAAATATTATATTTAACTCCTGATTTAATACACTATTTATTTAATTTTATTTTATTGTTTATTAAATTATGTTTATTTGACCGCAAAATTGTACTTAATGGAAAACCTTTTCTGTTCGATCAAAACAATATTTTCAAATTTTACTAATATATTGAAGAGAGGAAAATTTTTCTTACGCTCAAGACACGAGAAATAGAAAATAATTTAACAAAAATTTTTTTTCACCAATAATTTACGTTTTTATATGATTTACGATTTGACTAGCAATAAACAAACCTCTGTCATTCCGCACTAATTATTTTTCAATTATTTTGCAAATAAATTTTTCCAATTTTAATTCAAATTTAATTTCTACGAAATAATGACAGAAGTTAGGTGAAAAATACGTTAAAATTTAAAGATACAGACACGATATTTTGAATTGAATACGGGAATTTCTATTAATTTTTGCCTAAAATAATAAAAATCAAAAAACCGATTATTTTTCTATTAAAATTATAATTTAAAAAATAAAAATAGAAACATGGACTAAATAAATAAGTTAAATAAATTAAATGCATAAATAAAATAAATTATTTAAATGAATAAATAAATTAATAATTATTAATGAAAGAACATTAATTAGAATCGAAAAGTTATTAATTTTCATTCGAAATGAATTTACGATAAAAAATATCCTTTAGTAAATTATTTCTTTCGGTTTCGATTTTTGAACCCGACTTTTTTTTATCACCAAGTGACAAAACTGCAATATAACAAAAATTATTTTCGAAAATTACTTTTGTATTGTATAAGAATTTTGTTTTCAAATTTTTAATTTCAAAAGTTTAAAATTCTTCCGAATGTGTCAAAATTTGGCTGATTTTAAGCAGTCAGTTTTCTTTTTCCTTTTCTCAATTATAATTATTGCTAATTAATTTTTTATTATTAATATTCTTTACTCAATATTTATCATCAAGAATTAATAAATCAATTAATTTAATTAAATCATTCCTGATATTTAATGTAAAATAATTATTAAACAATTTTCTTCACAACTTCGATTTAATTACTAAAAGTAGAAATTTCTACAAAAAATTTAGTAAAATTTAACGAACTCTGAATTAATCTTGTAATTTTTTAAACTATTTTATTTTCTGATAGTTTTCTTTATTATTATTATCGATTATCGATTTTATTGAACTTTTACCAAATAAAAACCACTCAACAATAAGTTTCTTTGAAATTTTCTACTTCCGGTTTCAATGTCAATCGCTTCATACATTAAAATTCGCGTGTATCTTTTCCACATATCGCATTCAATTACCATTCCCGGTTTCTTGGTCTTTTGAATGACTTAGAGAGTTTAGCTTAGGGCAGGTGTTTCGTTACCTATCTCAAAATAAATGAGGGGGAGGAAAAACAAGACCAAAAAAGAAGAAAAAAATTAACTCGCATCTATAAAAAGAAGTATCGCTTCTTTCGGAGCTTTCTTTTACCTTGTGCTGTCGCCGTTCTTTTCTTCAATATCCAGTCGTTCCATTTCCTTCTGTAACATTCCGGTTTCGTATTTTTCCACTGACATTTTTCCCCCTCAATTTAAAAAAAAAATTATATTTCTCTATATTATATATATTTTTTTCTCCAAAAATGGAAAAAAATTTTCTCTCACTCTTTTAAACTCTTTTCTTTTTTTAATTTTGGGTTCACTTTTTAACAATCTTCTTTTTCACTTCCGTTCTTTTTTTATAAACTTTTCAATATATATTTATAGTATTTATATTTATATAATATATAATTCATATAATATAAAATTTCTCCGTCCTCTCTTTCTCTTTATTTTTCCACATATACACAAAAGCACATACACAAAATCCCAGTCAAAAGAAAATTATTATTTCTTGACTAAAAAAGAGCATTTGAGGTAGAATCACTATTTTAATCACCATGCACTATTTTTTTCGGGTACAAAAAAAAAACAAAAAAAGGGAATGTGTATTATTTTTTTTTGTTTTGCAAGAAAAATAAGGAAGGAAATGAAAAAAAATGGGAAAATAGGATGAGAAGGTATATACGCGGTACACTAATCACACGTAGAGAGAGCGTAACACCGGCGACAGACGTTATGAGATTGGTAGCGTCGTCTCTTGTGTCTTCGAATAGCGCGTGTTCTCTCTCTCTTTCTCTCTTTCCTGGTTCTTTCTCACTTGCACTCACTATCTTTCTTTCTTTTTCCTCTTATTGCCTTCTCTCTCTTTTACTCTATTGTGCGCGTTCACTCGACACAAGGAGAGCGCACGCACACTGACCGTGACTCTCCCCCCACTTTTTTTTTGAGAGAGAGAGAGAGAGAGAGAGAGAGAGAGAGAGAGAAAGAGAGAGTATAGTGAATATTTCTCTCCCTCGCTCCCCCTTCCACCCTTGGGGTAATTCGGCTTTCACCCTTATGCGAGAGAGAAACACGTGGAAGAGAACTCCCTCCGATTAAAGGGTCCCCGCAAAGTGCCGTCACTGGACCGTTCAGGAAATGCTGATGTTCAGGAAGTGAAAACAAAAATATTCTTTCTCCAAAATAGTTGGTGGTGGGCGTTTGCACTTGAATTCGATTTTTAATTTTTCTTTTGCAATTAATCAACTATTTTTGAGAGTACTTTTTTGATTTTTGCTGCTGGAAGTTTGTTGATAATTTTATTAATACTTGATGGTATGATAACTCAAGTAGTAAATCTTATTTTCAAAATTTGTTATCAACCGTTTTTACATTCTCATTTTTATCAGAGATGGGTAAATTGTTGTAAACAATAGTTGACTGCAAATAATGATGATAAGATACTAAATAGAAATTTTCCAACCTTGATATACTCTGACAATGTTAATAATGATGGTACAAATAATGATACTGCTGATGATAATAACATTGTTGGTGGTGATACTGATGATGATGGTAATATTGATGATGGACCTAATGCTACTACTGTTGATGATACCAACAATAAAGATACTAATAGTAATACCACTGCTGATGATATGAATAATACCACTGCTGATGATTTTAATAATAATACTACTGCTAATGATATTAATAATACCACTGATGATGATATTAATAATAATGTCACTAAGAATGATACTACAGATTATGGAACCACTGATGATGCTTCTACTGTTGATGATACCAATAATGAAGATACTAATAGTATTAATATGGCTAATAATGATGACACTAAGAATGATTCTAATGATGATGCTACAACTGATGATGCTACTACTGATTATGCTACTACTGTTGATGATACCAATAATAAAGATGCTGCTAATTATAATACCCCTGATGATGGTATTGATAATAATACCGCACTAATAATGATGCTCCTGAGGATGATACTATTAATGATGATTCTGTTTAGGATGACACAACTAATATTGGTACCAGTAATGCTGAGGATAATTGCTAGGGTTGACACCAATAATAATGATGCCACTGAGGATGATACCAATAATGCCGATACTTCTGAGGAACCACTAATAATAATATTACTGATGATACCGTCACTCATAACATTACTGCTATTAATGATGCTACTAAGGATGATACCATTAATGATATAAACAACAATCGATGCCCCCACTAATAATGATATTAATGATGATGATGCTACTAAGGATAAACCAATAGTAATAAAAACAACTAAGGATGGTACCACTGATGATGGTACCACTGATGATGATGCCATTGATGATGATACTGCAGAGGATCCTACCACTGAGGATGATACCAATAGTAATAAAAACCACTAAGGATGGTACCACTAATAATGATATTACTGATGATGATACTGCAGAGGATCCTACCACTGAGGATGATACCAATAATGCCAAAAACCACTAATGATGATGCTACCAAATAATAATAATACCATTACTAATATTCTAATTCCTGATAAATCAAGAATTCAAGAATGCAACACAAAAAGATTATTCCTTCAGCAATACCAATTTTCGTTCAAATCGAATTGATTAAAAACAAATTCGATCCAAAAATAATTTTTTGTTACAGATTGTTACAAAGATGTTGAAACTAAACAAAAAATTATTTTTCATTCACAATGCTACAGCATAATTTTTTGTTTAGTTTCAACAGTACTATTTTTTACTCGTATTTCCAATATTGGAAAAACCAAATTCTTTGTTGAGTCAACAGTACACACAAACACATATATATATAAAAAATTCTTATCTAATCCTACGGGCAGATGATGATACGCACAAAGAATTAATTTCAAGAGTGCATGATGGTGTTCTGCGTTCATTGAATCGACTCCACTGTATTATAAAGATTTGTTTATCCTTGAACTAAATTCATCAAATCGTATTACGTAATATGCTAAACAGAAAATTGGCGACAGGAATTTATTACATCGCACCAAAACCAATGGGCCATAAATCAAAATTAAATATTTACGCTGCATTTGGGTATACTGTTTTCGAAAAAAGAAATAATTTAAACTAATACTAATAATATTATTTCCACTTAGGATGATACTACGGAGTATTTAATAATAGAAAATTTTTTGAGAAACGGAATTAGTACTAAACGGAATATTATGTTTAATGAACCATCAAAGGATTAAATTCTGATCTAGGGATAAAATAGATTATTCAAAAGGGAACCAGAGAGGAAAGAAAGAAAATGCTCTTCTTTTCTTTCTCAAAAAATTTGTTGACACCATTTAAATCTAAAATTTTCGTTTTCGACGAACAAAACTTTGTGTCGGTCTTTTTTACATATCGGCCCCCCCTTTCTTCTAGGGTTTTTGCCCTAGTATTCGAGTACCAACGAAAGATCCGGTTAAAGCCATTGTTATCCGGGAGGGTACTCAATTATTCTTTTCAGTCCAATCAAGCAAGTCCCCCAATTCGCTCCAATAAGGTTCGAACGACAGAATCCTTTCTCACTTCTTCGTCTTGGAGAGAATTTTTTCAGTCCCACTCTTCCTCCCATCTCCTATTCTTTCCGCATTGTCACAGTAACATCCTTCTTGGCTTCTTTTACCCATATCTTGTCTCACATTTCTCGAAAAATAAAAAGAAGATGAAGAAGAAAGACCATGTGAACCACTTTTTGAATATCACTATGTATATCCTTTTCTATTTTTCGTTCAAGTTTTGGAAACTTGAAAATTTCTTTCTAATTCGTTAATGGCAGATGATAGTAGTTATTTAATTATCAAATGTTTTTTGTGTTAATAATTATTAGTCGGTGAAGTGAATGTTTTTCAACCAAGTTAACAAAGTTTTATTAATTGTGAATCGGTATTTAGAATCGCAAAGAGTATTAAAATTGGTAGTAACCACTGAAAAATTTTGGTACCATTTTTTAATTACGAATCGGTATTAATAGAATTGCAATTAGTATTAAAACTGATAGTAAAGCTAACAGTAAAGTCAATGGCAATTAATAGCAAAATTGTACATTAATTACGAATCGGTACAAACAGAATCGTAATTAATCGAGTAATTAGTATTAATTAGTATTAAAATTCATAGCAAAATAAATAAGAAAACTTGAAGAAAAGCCCAAGTTTTTAAAGTTAAACCATAGCCGACTGGACTAATCGACAGTTTTCGAAATTCCCAATTGGAGTTCGAATCCCCATGGCCCTCTCGAGAAAAATGCCGAAAAATTCTCAACAGCTCGTTTTGGAAATACAACAAAAAACATTCTGTGATAATTTTTAATACAAATAATCATCAATAGATTCCAGATTACAACTTTATCGTCTCGCCTTGTCTTTCAGCATTTCTCGACCTTGATAATTTACTACACGTGTTAGAAAAATAAATTTTTTTTCTGAAAATAGAGAAAGAGAGTAAGAGAGAGAGAGAGAGAAAGAGAGAGAGAGAGAGAAAGAGAGAGAAAATAGAAAGATAACGTAAAGGGGTGGGTACATTAGCAAAAAAAAAGAGAGGAAAGTAAAAAAAATATATACACACTTGCAAAAAAGGACGAAGGGATTGGAAAAAACACCGTGTGAAAAAAAATTGAATTTGGGCGCGCTACCGGTAACGGCGTGCGATATATTGGCCAGGATATCCAACGAGAAAGCGCGGTGTGGGTACACTGATATTATTTTTATAATCGGTGCGCCGCACGCTGCTAGGCCGCGCCCAAAAATCCCCCCACTCCATAATTCGTGACCCCCCACCACTGTCGTCGAAGCGTTACCACACCCCCACCGTTTATTTCCCCTCCGGGGAATGTTCAGCGTCGGCGGGGATACTATATATACATGTAGACAAAAACGAACGCGGAAATACGTCATCTTGAGAAACGATGAAATGAGGTTCAAGTCATCTATAGTGGATGCCGGTATAAACTGCCGGGATTCCTCTCGATTTGGAGAGGTTCAGACAAAAAGAGAGAATTGACTGACATTTTTTTTTTTTTTTTTTTTTTGCAATAATTGAATAAATATGAATTTAATTTGTATCAGAGGAGATTTTTTGGGCCTTCATTTCATTGGATAGAAAAACTCGATGGCTCAATTGGAATTAGGTAAAAATAATTGATTATCAGTCAGCTATTTAATGAGTTTTCCTTTCTTTCTAAGTACTGCAAAATGTCTCATTTTCAGTAGAAAAATACAGAAAAACAATACAATACAAAATAATAATTAATCAAATGTTATTTTTTTTTACTGATTTTCAGCGATAAACATTATTGTAAAATTCGACAAATTTTATTAATGTTGTAAATAGTGCAAAATAACTAGTTTTCAGTGAAAAAAATAACTGAAAAATCAGTGAAATTTTCAAAATATCCAGTCAAAATGTACGAAAGAACTGACAAAAAAAAATTGATTTTGACAAACTTGATTTATTGTAAATAGTGCAAAGTAACTAATTTTCAGTGACAAAAATAACTGAAAAATTAAACAAATTTGATCCATTCTAATCAGTACAAAAATAATTGACTTTCAGACAAAAAATAATTGAAAAATTTGTTAAACTTGATTTATTGTAAATAGTGAAAAATAAACGATTTTCAGTAATAAAAAGGAAAAAGAGAAATAACTGAAAAATTAGTCAAATTTACTTCATTGCAATTAGTGTAAAATAACTGATTGTCAATCTTAAAAA